TTCAGCTAGGGTAGTATCATTAAATTACTTCAGAGAAGTGACTGGAGGGCTGGACAAAATAGGAAAAGTATGCGAGAACTAATGCCGTTAAAATATCTCTAAGAGCTGGAGCTTGCCAGTTAGGGAGAGTATGAAAAGAACACAGCCTGTATTCAGGCAGTAAAGAGAATCAGCAATTTTCTACTGCTTCCCTAGGAGGCATTTGGAAATGTATTGAGGCAGGTTTGTCATCACAATGACTGGGAGAACTACAAAGTGAGGGACAGTTGTGCATAATGAAGAATTGTCCCAACCCAAATACCAACAACACTTCTATTGAGAAACAGTGTGTTTGAAAGATGTTAGGTACCTACTAACCAGGGCATTGAGAGTGAAAGGGTGCTATTAATAATGATGTCAAGACAACAGACGTAGCCATGAATGAAGCAGGCAAACTAGGACTTAGGGGAGCCCTGGTATAGGGGCTTGCAGCTACCCACACAGGTATAAAGGGGGAAATCAAACCCAGGAAAACAGGGTGTGAAATCAATCATATCTGGAAAGTACAGGCTTGGAGTCCCCCACTTGTCTTATTGACTTTAAAAAGGGATTGAGTGATTATCCTTCTGTGGCATCAAAAGAGTTACTCAGTCCAGTCACAAATTTTTGGCTGATAAAAATTGTCAACATGCCCAGGATGCTTAATTTTAGTATGGATAGGAATTGTTGAGCCAGTAACCTCAACTCTTGTTATGATGATAAAAGTATTCTCTTAGTGCAGAGTTTCCCAAATGTTTTCACATTGTGGCACACAGATAAATTTATTATCAATTGAAGGGCATCCTTGAATAACCGCAGGAGGCTGAAGGCTACAGACTTCATGTGGCCACCCTCAAAACTATGAGATTCAAAGACTTTAGCACTCCTGGGTCACATTTTAATACACACCTTATCAAATAAGTCTTGAAAGCCTAGGAAGTTTTAAAATGAAACAAAGAGATGGTGGAGTAAATCTAACCCTTGGTTTTAATACTTTTATGTTGAATTTAGGCATAATCTGTGTTTGTTTAAAGTGCTTAAGATGTTTGTGGCAATTTGACATATTAGCAAATTGGGGAGATAAGTCTTGGGTTCCAATGTAAAATGTGTATTTTTACACATGTGATTTCAAAATGAATTTAAAAAGTTGGACTTAACTCATACAGTATATGCTATTGGAATGTTTCAGAGGAATTGAGATTCACTATATTTATATGTTTTATTTGTCTCGATATATGTGAGTTAGGTATGGTGGAGGTGCTGTTGGTTGGCGTTGGTCTTCCCTGTGAGATATTAGATAGGCTTGAAAATAAAGCGCATTAAGTGTATAGATACAGCTTAGAACAAAAAAATTCAGACTACTCAACATGGCTAAGTCTGCTCACTAAAAGTGACTGTTCTTACTTCATACAAATTGTCTACATTTATATATCTAAAAATAAAATTTCTAAGTTGAACCTAAAGATTTATGAAAAATTAGGTTTTAAAATGTATACCAAGTGGAGAAAGCTGGCAGACACCACCTTTACCAAATGATCAGTGTTAACAGCACCAAGAATGGGAATGTGCCTCCTGGTATCACATGCTGAGGACACATCATTGTTTGTGTAGTATTCCTGACAAAAATGCATACCCTGAATCTAAACCATGAGAACACATCAGACAAACCCAAATTGATGCACATCCTACAAAGTAACTGTCTTGTACTGTTAAAAATGTCAAGGTCTTTGAAGACAGAGAAAGGCAGAGACACTGTTCCGGATCAAAGGTGATTAAAGAGAGATGACAACTAAATGTCATGAAATCGTGAATTAGATGCCAGACTAGGGAAAGATATATAATGATAAAAGACATCATTGGCACAATTGACAATATTTGGTTGAATATGGACTGTAGAGTAGATGATAGCTATATATAATTTTTTTTATTTTGATAATTGTACTATGGTTATGCAAGAGAATGTCGTAGATATTAGGAAATGTACATGATGTATTTAAATGTAAGGAGGCATGATGTCTACAACTTTATTCTTAAAATGGCTCAGAAAAAACTATCATCTATTCAATGAGAGAACAGTAAAGTAAATGAAGCAAAATGTAAACAATTCATTAACCTGGGTAAAGGGTATATGTGGGTTCTTTCTTTGTACTGTTCTTGCAATTTTTCTTTTGTTTCAGTTTTTCTTGTTTGAATTATTTCAAAATAAACGTATGGAAGAGCTAAAATCCTGAATGTATAATAAAATACACACATGTACATACACACATAAGTATGTACATATAACATTTAAACCTCAAGTTACTGTAGATCACCTTTTCTGTACACAAAAGCTACTCTCAGACATCCCCAAACTTTACACATTCACACAATATTGTTTATTGTGGAATGCTGGGCATGCTGCCACTCTTGTGTTGTCAGTTAAGTCCATGAGATCACAGTACACTGACGTGCAAGGGGCATTGAAGAGCATGTTTATAGTTCCTACTCCAATGGCTTTGCTACTGTGGGAAAGAATTTGATTCGTGTCCTTCCTACACTTAATTTGAAGGCAAAGTCTTTGCAAGTGTGCCAGTGCCTGCCTTTGTATTCATTCCACCATTAGAGCATTACAAATTAAGGGAAATCCCATCGCAGCTCTACAGAACACATCCATTAGTCTTGGTGCTTTCTCCCAAATGCACATTTTGCTTGCCGGTGCATAATCTGTGCCAGCTTGATCCATTTTAATTTTTAACTGAATTAATTCTGTCTCTTCTAGTGTGTGCCAAGTATGGAATGGAAAACCAAATGCCCTCCTCAGAATCATCCACACACGGTTGTCTTAGACGTGGTGAAGTGTTGAAGATTCCTCAGTTACATCCTTAAGTGTCACCAAAACAGCCAGTCTGGGTGTTTCAAGCAAAGGTAGGTTCGGGTAATGGTGGGAAGGATAAATGATTTGTTTATTTAAATAGGATGAAAATTTTTCTTGGTATATGTGGATGTCAAGGGCAGTGTTTCGATGTGGTAGTCACTTGGGTGAGCATCATCACCCTACTCTCAAAAAATTAGCAAGTGATTCACAGCAGAGATGCCACATCTACTAACATCATTTCTAATGAGATGGATCATCTCCTGTTATTTCGAAAATCACTAGGATAGGCTGCACCTAGTGGACTTACGTTATTCCTTTGGCTCACCAGTATCTGAACACTGTTGGGGGAACCCCTCCCAACCATGAACCTTGGGAATAGGTAAAGATAGCCTCTCCCTAAGAAGTGCTGACATTGCTACCCACTTTCTCAGCCTCTTTTGCAGCTAGGGCAAGAAACAGAGCAGGGCAGGGGCAAAGGAGAGGTTCTCCCCGTGGTGGTGATTGACTATGGTAAGGGAGTCTTCCCTGGAACCAGTTCTGAGACATTGTTTTAGGTGTCTCTTACTACTCATGCATCCTCTTTACTACTCATGCATCCTCTTAAGTCTGGTGACATTAACAAGAATAGAAGTGATATGAAATTCTCTTCGGAAGCAAAGTATGAATTGCAAACTGACTTAATATACTTGTCATTATTAAAACAAAAAACAAACAAACACAACAAACACTATGACTGACTATCACTGCTCAAAATGTATCTCCCAATCTACAAATGCTTACTCCCTTTAACCCAGCAATCTCACTTCTAGGAAGTATCCCACAGATATATTTGTGCACAAATGAAATGATGTAATGAGAAATGTGCAATGTTGTTTGTTATAGCAAAAGACTGAAAACAGACTACATATCCCGCCAAAGGGAATTGCTTAAATAAAATAAATAGCCTGTGAACATATAATGAAATATTATACAGCTATAAAAAAGAATGAGAAAGCATTTTATATATTTAAATGAAAGAAAGATTTCTTGAGTCCATATTTAAATTTAAACAAGTAAGGCACATAACTGGGTACAGAGAATGCTATATCCTGTGAAATAATAGGAAAAAAAAGGAACATATATTTTAATTGCTTATATAATAATAAAGACACTTTGGAAGACTAAATAAGAAATTAATAATGTCTACTCAGGGCAATGAGGATGATATGGGGGAAAGGGTAGTTGGGAGTCTTTTCACTGTCTTTCTAGATTATAGTTTTTTACTCATATGCATGTATTACCTATTTAAAAAGTAAATAACTAAATTAAAATAAAAACAAAGTACTGCAGTCCAATCAACACTTTTTTGTAACATAACTGCGTGCTTTATTGAGATACACAGTAAAGCAGTACTATAATACAATAGTAAGGCATATATTTGGTGAAGTCTGATATGTTGTGAAAATGCAGTAGAACTGAAGTTTAAAAAAATAATTAGTAAATGTTACAGTGTTGGTGTTAAAACACAATATATTATGATACTCAAGTAAGAACTCAGTACCTGAAAACAATGACAAAACATGCCATGTGATGTTTATGCTTCAGTTACATTGATTATGATTTACAGTTTAATACTTGGTGGTTATAAACAACACAACACAACACGAAATAATGTCCAAATTATGCTTAAAATGCAGCAATAAAGCTCTCAATTTTTATTCAAATATTATGACAGACTCACTCCAGAACTAATGTCTAAAAGAAAAAACAAAAAGATTAAAACAAAATTATGCACTCTATTTACCTCTGATTTTAGAATGAAACTTAAACTTCTTAGTAGGATGTAAAGTAACCCCTTGTTTTAAATCTTAGTTTGTTTTAGAAGTCCTTGGGTAAAGAAAAGGTCCAGCGTCACATAAAGGAAAAAAATGCAAGACAAAAACCAAATCTTCATGTAATATGTTACCTTGGAGCTTTGGGTTTTCTTTTGAAAATTATAAAGGAAAAAGAAAATCACGCAATAGACAAGTGGTGAAGCTGTGAACTCAGGTGTGCATGATTATCAGGAACACCCCAAAACCAAAGTGAGGTAGAAATAGCATGAGAAGCCGTGTTTGATGTTAATTATTATTAATAAAATAATGGACAAAACCCACTCTCCAAAAGCTAATTACACTTGATGTCAGAGGTAACAGATTTGCAAAATTATAGGTCACACGGTGATGTCTATTGAATGAATGATTTAAAAATCAAAGAGGAATAAAATGGCATGAAAGAGTAAAGCTTTTTCCTACCAGTCCTTAGCTTTTCCTCTTGAGCTTTTCTCCAATTTTTGAGCAGTGTTTGTTTGTTTGTTTGTTTATATATTTAACCTGTCTGTCTAACCCCCCAAGAAGGGTTTGGAGTAGCTTTTACTTTCGTAACATTTGAATCAGTTTGCCTCTTACTTACAAACCCGTGTGGAATTACTCGCAGAGAAATGCAAAGGAGGGAAACACAGTTCATGGGCTTCTGGGTTGATACTTGTCAGTATCACAAATGTAATGGGGCTGCTGTCTTACACCTTTTCCCAAAGTTTATTTTAAATTGTCTTGTGGCATTTAAAAACTCATCCGGCATGGGAAAATAGAGCTAAAAAAACAGCAACAAAAACAAAACCACCCACTTCCTTTTGACTGTGAGAAGAGGGCATAATAATTTAGTTGTAATTAATTAATTACAGAGAACTTTATGTATTATGAACAGTCATCCAGTCCTTCAGTTAAAGAAAGAGTGGCCTATGCCTTCACAGGGATGGGCTGGGAATCCATAGCCCTCCAGCCCTGTCATCATCCTGCTACTGCTTGGGAGTGAAAAATACCTTTGGATGGTCAGAATACCTTCTGATTTCCACTGAAGCATCATTAAATCTAAATCGTGGCATTGCCAGCAGCAGGAAGCCGAATATATCAATCAATCAATCAATCAATCAATCAACCAACCGATTACTCTGATATAATAAGTCCTGTGTATTCATTCATATGTTCCCTTTAAAAAAATTCAATACTCTAGTTGTCAGTGGAAAGTTTAAAATGAGGAACATCTGGAGGTGTAGACAATGTTTTAGTCTGGTAGTTTCCTCCTGGCTTCCGGCTCCAGGGAAAAATCCATTCTAGACCAAGCAGGTAAGCCTGGATGACTAGAAGTAATTTCTTTCTATTAGGAAGAAGTGACACGAACACTTAAAAAATGGAAAAAGTCTATAGAAATTCATATCTATCTATCTATATAACTATAGTATTTATATACTTATAGACATATAGATATATAAAATGAAAACTCACAGCCCGCCCCACTCAGTTGACAATTCTCAAATGAGCAGTGTGAAGTAGTCATTTGGTGGTGTTAGAGGAAGTCCTATCTATCTTTAATATGCAAACAAAGACAAAGCCATGAATTTCATATGGATATCACACCAAAGGATGCAAAACAATGCGCTGCCTCAAAGTTGTGTGTGTGTGTGTGTGTGTATGTGTATGTATGTGTGTATGTGTATGTGTATGTATGTGTGTGTGTTTGTTTTTAGGGGTTTTTATAAACAACTTTTTTTTATAAAGCACACTTTAGTTTACAATCTTTCTTTATAACTGTTATAAATTTTTAAACAACCCAAAATGCGTTCCATATAAAGAAATGGCAAGTTATTTAGCTATCAAGATTTTACATGTAGTTTTCTTATAACTTTTTTGTACAATTGCATAGACGTGTAAAACCTGCCATTGTTAACAAAACAATAACAGACTTAGAAACTACTGAAATCTACAGTATAGTACCACTACCCTTCACAAAAATATAGATTTATTTCTTGTAAACTCTTACTGTCTAATCCTCTTTGTTGTATGAATATTATAAAAACCATGCGGGAATCAGGAGTTGTAAAACATTTATTCTGCTCCTTCTTCATCTGTCATGACTGATACTAAGGACTCCATCGCTCTGCCCAAATCATCTGCCATGTGGAAAAGACTTCCTACATTGTGTCCTGGAAGACAAAGAGAAAGACAGACAGACTTTACAACAGGTGCAGATAGCATCACTCTGTTTCTTTGCCATTTGGGAAATCATTCCCCATTTCTGGGTGAAGACAACACAGAAGCTGCATCGAGGGTATACACAACAAGGTTTGATTTTCACCAGTTTCCAGGAAGAAGCAAAGCCTTGTTAATGAAGCCATTACACGTTGTTTGTTAGTATCAGCTTAATGTTGGAGCAGGCTACTGGTGTTTAAATGGAAAAATGTCAAGCTACACTCATGTTCCCAGTGTAAATATATATCAAAAGAATTCCACAGATAAGCACAAGATTTCTATCAGAACAGGAATATTCTGTGATGGGATACATCTTTCTTTTCCACCTTGACTATGAGTGATTACTTACTCTCTCTCTACTTGTACTAATGTTTTTTACTATCAAACCACCATCACCACCTCTGTCACCCGCACAACTACCACACCATTACCTCCAATATCACCCCCATCACACGAAATTTTCATTTCAGAGCTGAAATTTTCCTTTCAAAGCTGAAATTTTCATTTCAAAGCTGTTTGTTTCAGGCTGTTGGCTTGCTTCTGAGGCTATGGTGGAGGTGGCTATTTTCTCTCTGCTTTTACTTGGGTTGAAAAATAAACTCTTGAATTGACCTTTTGGTACACTATTAACATTTGAATTAGGACACCTCAGAATAAAAATTACTTCCCATTCCAAATTACTCTAGAGCCTAATTATAAGGTGACCAACATATATTGTATGCATTTGGGTATTCTGTGAATCCATCTTAGATCTCCTCCTAAATGAGGGTTAACTAACTATCACAATAGCCTTTTAATAAGAATCTCCCAGCATGGAAAAAAAGAACAGCATAATGTCCCTGGGTACTTTACTTTGTAGCAAAATTCAGATTTACAGTAAGATAATCTGAGACATACTTTATGGCTTGCCTTTTCATCTATGTCCCATAGTTTTATATGGCTAATTTTAATTATTGCACATTGGTAAATCCTTCCACTATTCAAGTATTGTCTTTGGAACTGAAATGCTTTACTAGGCTATTACTACCTTGCCATGAATCAACTTTACAGATTCCCATAATAATTGTTAAAATCCCAATTAAAAATTAAAGATAGACTAGGGAGAGTATTGTTTTAATATTTATTTCAAGAGATATATATATCTATCTTATCTTCTCTACAAAATATGGGAGGATCTGAAGAGGATTACATGGGCAGGCACTTACTTACACAGTGATGACGCCACAATTGAAGACTTATTAAAAGTTTAATGTCATTCAGGCATTTCTATTAAGGTGACCAAGTTTGTATATCTTTTTGTGCTTTATTAGTGCAAAGAATTTCATGGAGAATTATATTTTAGAAAATCGCTTTGGATTTTGGTTGAGACTGCAAGTATAAACATTTTTAACAAAGCATATGCACTATTCATAAAGTGGACCAATAGTTTGGCAGCCCTCAGTGAAGAACTGAAATCATTTTTGGCTTTCTGTGCCATAAAAACCACAGGAAGACGACACAGTGGGGCCTCTGCTGCTCCTTAGAGCTCAGAGTACAAATATGTAACTGCCGCTACCAAGCTGGAGGGCTTCCCCTGTATCTATTTTTGACTATCCAGCAACCCTGGGAAATCTGCATAATTATTCATGCATAAACTGAAAATAGATGGACTAACTGCGAATTTTTAATTACTAGCAATCTTTACAGTTATTAACAAAATCAGTCAAAACAAAGCCCAAGACCTTTACAACCTGATGCCTGAATGTAATTCGAAGTGTTTCTCATGACCCACAGTAGCTAGAAAACATATTACAAAACATCAACAAAAAAGCGGGGAACTCATTTTTTTCCTGTCAGCTTATCGATAATCAAAATGTGTCTTTTTAGGCTGTGTGCTAGGGGATGTCGATGGCAGTTCAAAGTATAATAAAACAAGTAAATGCATTTATAGATTATATAGCCAAGTGGTGCTTCTCTTCCTTGAAATGCTGTTCAGTTACTACCTGGAAGGAAAATTCTTGAGTCTCTCAAGAAGCATAAGTTCTAGGGGTATCTGCTATTTAAAAATCTGCCAGGGAAAACAGAGGTTCATTATTCTTAATGAGCCATGCACACTCCCACAGAAAGTTGGGTGGCCTTTAACTGGTTTAAACTGCTGCATTTTCACAAATGACCTTGTGGCCATCTTTGTGCTATAAAAATAACTTTTAGAGTCACCTCATAATCTAGATTATGCCTTTGGTTACTTCACTAAATACCTGCTTTACCAGAATAATAATTCTAAGTTTTTTCCATGGAGTTTTTCATTAGATCCAGAAAAAAGAAGTCAATCTCTTTTACAAACTACTGCCCCAAAGAATCATACTTTAATCCATTGGAGGGGTAAGACTGCACTGTGACATGAATACAGAAAGTAGATTTGTATCCTAGTTCTATTATCCATGTGTGTAAGGCAGAGCATTCGGGAGGTCATTAATTTTACCTGACAGATTTTTCTAAAGTCAAAATAACAATCTCATACTATGAAGTATAAGAGGTACTGAAAAGCAGCCAGGATTCAGACCTTTGCAATCACCTTCAGGCACAAGGTGACAGAAAACTATGTCTATAGAAAGTATTAATTTAATCCATTCTTAAGCAAGGATTATTGAACACAAAGGCACTATGCCTTGAACATTAGCAGTTGTTATGTTTTTCCAAGTTGGCACTAACTGCAACACATTTAGTCTCACACGCCACCAGTGCCTGAGGGAATTGTTTTCCACAGCGATTGGAATTGAGACTTTCTGGCAAAGATCCAAGACCTCAATAGCAATCTGGTGCTCTAATTTTTAAAAATACAATTCCCAGATAAACTGTTAGCATTCAACTGGCCAACGCAAAGCCAGAATACTACAGTGAAATTTGCTTATCTTTTCTTCTCTATAATTTAACCTCTGAAAAAAATCTGGTCTACTGTACATTTGGGATATTTTCATAGCATTAAAAAAGGTCATTATTGTTTTGATTCTTTGGCTTCTGGAAACTTGTCTGAACACCATACACCTCAGGTAGTCAAGTCTGCAAATGCCTGTATCACTTCAATTACACATGCTAGCCTTTTCTAAAATTCATTTGTGAATGAAACATGTTTAAAATGGTCAAAATTATGGTGCATTTTTCTACAAAAAGTTAAAATGAATAAATTTTAAGGGGCACTTACCATAAGAATGAACCCAAGAAGTCTCACATACGAAGTACATGAACCAGGCAAACCGTCAGGAGCATTCAATGCTTCACCAAGTCAGGTTTCCTCAATTTCTCCTCCCAGCCTACCATTCCCTCCCTGGCCCCACTGCCCAAAGCCTTGGAAGGAGGCACTGGCACAGACACACTGAAGGATCATTAAATTGATTAGACTTGTATGGCACGATGTTGGCACAGTTTTCGTTATGATTCCTGTGTTGAAATGAATCAGTGGTCACTCTAGTCCATCCTATTGCTAAGGAGTCCAGAATCTTCTCATATAAGAAGGACTCTCCACCCATCCAGCCTGTCTCCCAGAACACTGCCATCCCATGGGAGAGCTTTCCTTCTCTCCTCCTGCAGATTAAATTCTTTGTAAAGACAACCTTGTTTTTACTTGGGCTGTCAGTTAACATTTTTTGTCACCCAACAGTCACTTAATTAGGTAATTTGATATTCAGACAATATTCCTGGTGGAATAGGAGTAAGAAGCATCTTTCACTGTAAAACCTCAAACCACATTCAGTGATAAGACTGCACCCTATCCCTTTCAACCCATAAATAGGCATTTAAAAAAACTCTCAAGACTCCAATATTTAGTTTTTTAATCGAACTGGTTATTGTTCTGTGTGGCTTCAAATACCAAATAAAAAAGATCATCTTCTGAAGGGTACGTTGAGATGATGTAAGCCTTTCACATGAGAGTTAAGAGTGTGGGTCTGGAGCCAGACTGCCTGGATCCAAATCCTGGCTCTGTCACCTGGGACACACTGCTTACTCTCTCATTGACTCAGTCTCCTTATCTGTAAAACGGGGTTAATAAGAGTACCTACCTCACAGGTTTGTCATGAAGATGACATGATGAAAAAGATGGCAAGTGCTGAGAACAATGCTTGGCACACAGTAAGTGCTCAAAAAATGTTCGCTAAAATGGGAAAGAAAGAGCGTAGGAACCAAGAAAAAAGGAAACAAAAGCAAAATGAAGTCATCCCAGAAGAATAAAAACTAAGGGCGCTGGCAGAAAATGCTAAGGTCCTGGAAGTGGAAGAAAGCTTTATGACTCATCAGTTATGTTCAAGGCTAAATTTAGTTTGAAGATTTTGCTTATGTTGCAAATGGCAACAGATGATGAACTGCAGGATTCCAACCTAGGGACTACAAAGGATTGCCATTTTAAAGAGATTCTTGCTCCCCCAACCCCAGTCTTGTCGTCATGGTGATGACAACGGCAATGAACATTTGAGGAATGTTCCTCATGAGCTGCAAGTGGAGAGGTGACTACCATCCTTACATGATGACACAATGTGTAATACACACATGCGCGTGCACACACACAATTCTTACACAAACGCCAAACATAAAAAGCAGGATGAGACAGACAGAAGCCATGGCCGTGAGCCTGAATCTCACTAACCTCTCTCATTGGCTTTCCAGGGGTATTTCTTCCTTTAATAATAGAGAGAGGAAGAGGCAGAGATATCAGAAAGGGAAAAAAACATGCATAAATATACAATTTCATATCAATTTGCTTCTTTTACCAAACAAATGTTGAGATGACCATTTATTCTCTGCTGGAAAAAAAAAAAAAAAAAAACAGAAACAAAAAAACCCAAAAGACACATCTAGTCAAATAACCTTTACATACACTTAAGATCAGTGTAAACAGATAACATGATCCAGAAGACGTCATTTATAAAATCCATAGAGTTCACGCATTAAACTGGATGAAAACTGGCACAGGATAGAAATCTGACAAATTGGGCATCGTTTTCAAGGACAACTCAAACTTAATGTTAAAAAAAAAAATCTCAGAATCTCTTCACTCTTGACTTGACAATCAGCACATTGAAACATAAACAGTAGTTGACTTTGTGTGCCCAAAGTCTGCACATCAAATGCAAGGTAGAACCCGACACAGAGGCTGGACTCCATCCTCTTGGGAGAATTTGTTCTATCTGATAGAAGCTGAGCATGTCCATGATAAAATTGGAGGCATTTGAGAAAATGGAAAAGAACAGATGAGGGGAAGAGGTAAGTCCCACTAATGGGCAAGCCACAGAGTCAGATCCAGGAATGAGCTTTCAGCTTCCTCCTCAATTCAGCAAATATCAGGAGCCTTAAGAGGCAATGGCTAAAGACCCACTGGCCTTGATTCATAGAGTCCTACATCTGTATGCATTTATTTGTATTTCAAAAGTAGATTCTGCTGAGAAAGTGTTCTATGATAAGTCATAATTGGACAGAAAAGTAGGGACCTCTGACCATACATGTCAATAGCATGTCTTGGGCATTCAATTTCCTTTATCTCCAAGGTCTTCAAACTGAAAACCTTGGTTTTCAAACTGTTTTAACTATAGCAATGGGACATCTCCTAAAACAATCTTATATGAAATTCCAATATTTGGAGCAGTTTAAAGCAGAGCTGTGAGAGATCCTGTACAGCATCTCCCTTTCCCCTCCACCCATCATTCTCATTCTCAGTGGCTCCAAGAAGATTAAAAACTCCCTGAAACAATTTGAGAACTACTAGTCTGGAATGAAGAAGTGTGGAGCTACGATACCAATAGAAACCTTTCAAAATGCAAGGTTAGGGTTCAAAACTTCTAGTATACATTTAAAGATAGTTTCTAAGTTGTTCTTCCCTCTCTCCCTCTCTTTCTTAACCCTCCCTTTCTCCTTCTCTCCCTTCTGAATTTCCTACATGACTCAGCAATTTCTTAGGAGTATCAGATTTTCAGCTTGACCACATAAGGGCCAGGTATTTATGATGCTCTTCAAGCCAGGGAAAAGGGAGAAAAATGGGTACTAGCTCCTCAGCTGTGGGTGTCACTAGTGGGAGACCCATACCAAATGATGTTCCCATCATTTGGGGAGGAGAACATCATTCTGTCCTTGATGACTGAAATCTCAGTATGAATTACTCACCCCTTCTTCGTGATTCCTTTAGCGAGGTTTTTTAAAAAAACTATCTTTATGTTTCATAATACTGTCTGGTGGCAGAATCAGTTCTCTTCCCCTGTAAGACTATAAGCCTCTTAAGGATGGGGTCCACATGTTGCTCATCCACCTCTCTATTTCCAATGCCCTGTACTGTACATAGACACTAACGGTAGTTGATAAATACTGGCTGAAGTGAACTGGTAAAGTAGTAGTTGGATCATGACCAAGAGTCCTTCTGTGTTATAAGTAACTTGCCCTTCACTGGCACGCTTTAGTTTGGATGCCAAAGGTGGGTAACTTGTTTTGGCACATAACTTTGGTCTACTTTTAAAACTTGAGATCTTTAGGAAGGACAGAGTTGTTAGAAAGCCATGTGATTTAGAATGTAATTATGGTTATGTATTTCAGAATGTAATGATGATTCTTAGAATGCTTAATGTTACATATCTTTAGTAATTCTACACTAAGCCATATTCAGAACTCAGTATCAATTGATTATTGCTTAATATGTAGCAGCAAATGACTTGTGTTATGTTCCAGGTCCTTCTTCAGAAACCATATTGTACGCAAATGGACCTCCCAGAGCCAAGCTAAGTCTAATCTCTTCTAAAATCCTCCCTCATCACTGAAAATCCTCCCTCATCACTTGGGTCGCCATGTACTCATTAACACATTACAAAAGGAAGGTCCTTTTATTTCACTTTAGAAAAAGTTAAAAACAAGTGGTATTTTCTACCGTATAAGGACTAGTTCTACACTGACAAAACAGAGACTACTTGGTTACGACATTTTTAAAAGTTCTTGACTGATAAAGTTTTAGATAAAAGTGTTATTTTATAAACATATTTTTTTTTTGGAAATGAGTTTCCGTAGACCTTCAGTTACAGTGTCCATCTGGCAATGTGATATGTTGTCAGGAAATGAATCAAGACAAAAGGGAAGTGTGCTGGGGCAGTTCTAAGTCTAAAGGGCTTGGTCAGGTCCAGAGAAGTCTAATTTCCTCGGGCAGTATAAAATTGACATTATTGATTGTAAGTCATTATTTTAGAGTTGAATTGCAGGACAGTACTGTTTCTGCGTGCTTTTAGCCTCTTTTATATTAATTCACTGGCTGTTTAAAATACTTAAGGAAGAATGAGTCCCTTTTTAGGATTTCTGTTATTTAACAAGTCAAAAAAATTCAAATGGCCACACTTGCAGGCTCTTTGGTGAATATGAATATAAATGTATAAATCAATTCAATTTCAGCTCAATAATCTTGTTCAGCTGAAAGTTGATCAGCACAGAAGCCTGTGACTCTATACATGTAATGAGTCAGAATGGACAACAAAATAATAGTGTAAAGCAGAGACTGGCAAATTTTCCCCATAAAGGGCCAGATAGTAAATATTTTAGACTTTCCAAGCCCACAGTCTCTGTACCAACTATTCAACATTGCTGCAACTACTCTGTCCTGGTAATGAGAAAGCAACTACAGGCAACATGTAAATGAATAGGTGTGACTATGTTCCAATAAAACTTTATTTATAAAAACAGATAGTGGGCCAGATTTGGCATATGGGCTGTATGTAGTTTGCTAGTCCTGGATTAAAGGGATAACTGCTCTAATCCTTTGTGGAAGAATACAGGAAACAGAACGGTGCCTGAAAAAGGGTACATGATATTTCTATCTGCCTTTGTTCTTTATGTTGTTCTTCTATAAAAGAACCACAGAATAAGATTTTAATTTTAAAAGATGGCAGGTTTTACAAAGCTGTTGGGTTGGTAATTTAGGGGTATTTGATAGAATGTATGTGGGCTTGAGAGGGGATGGTATGAAAAAAAGAGGATGGCACGGGCTGGTGGGGATAAAAATAATGTAGCACAGGTCAGTAGGCAAGAGATTGTACAGGCAGCAGAAATAGTAGCACTGCTAACTGCTTTCTGGATTATTATCTTGGCTCCTATTATTCATTCATCTATATAAAGTGGTACCACATTTTAGAGAGCCTGATACCATACTGCTGACTAGGAGAGCACTTCTTTCATCAATGCACATACAAATAAAAATATCTTTGTTAGTCTGCTAAATGATCAGAGACTTATGGACAAATCACTTAACGGGGTTATTTTTTAAATTACATTTGTTTCTTCTACCCATGTAGTTTTCCTATAGAATGGCAGAGCTTTAGAAAGTACCTTATAGTAGATAATGACTTATTACACTAGAATTCAACTTCTACACATATACTTACAAAGGAAGAGATTAGAGATAGATAGATTAGATAGATATTGGCTAATATTCAGTGTTACACTGAGCCACTCAAATCACCCAAGTGTTTGTGAACAACTAAGTATATCATCTAGAGACCAACCAGAAAGATATCATCACAAAGCTACACGTTCACACATTCATATCTTGAATATGCTGCTGCTTGTATTGCCTATTATGCAGGATAGTGTTGGCCATCGTTTGATCACTAAACGGAGAAGCATGTACCTCCTTTATTAATTTTGATAACAGTTTAGCAAAGCCATTAAGATACGATTAGAAGCCTAACTTAACTTGCTGAATGGTCATAAACAAGGCACTTGACTTTTCTTGGCTTCCGGGTACTCTTTGTGAAAATAAAAGATAAAGGTTAGCTGACACCTTCAGGACCAACTCTGACAAGGGGCAACAGAAAAGTTGTAAATTTGAGGTACACAATAGCTTACCTATCTATATACTTTATATTTATGAAAAGCATAAGTTTTTTTAAAAACGGCTTTTCCTCTGTGGGCAATTATCTAGCAGGGTTAAGTAAACCATGAGGTGGTATTTAATAGCACATTTCCACTAAATGTCAGACCTCTGGCTCTCACATCTGTTTTGAGTTACTCAAACAGCTGTCCAAAACAGCTGTAGCAACCATGAACTTTGTTTTTTGTAACACAACAATGAAAACATGGATTGTAGTGTTAGAATAAAACTATAAAGGTCTCTGAGACATTAGCAACGTCTTGGCAGAAACTTCCATGGCAAAAATCTCAAAATTTAAATTTTTTTGAAAGATAATTCACCTAGGCAAGAAAAACTGAGATCGGATAGATCAGTATTTTTAAACCACTGGTTCAGAAAATCCATTTAGTGGGTTGCAACCAGCATTTTGTTTTTAAATAAATAAAACAGAAAAACAGCATGCATTGTATGTAGTATGGAAGGCATCACTTGATGAAACTTTTGTTTGTGATCTTTGTATGCATATGTGACTGTAAACGTGTGTGTGTGTACGTATGGTGGGTGTATATATACATGTGTGTACATAAACACATGTATAATTTGTATCTTTACCCCAGTTTGTGATGTAAAATGTTTCTCTGATATGGATAACCATCAAAACAGGGTCAAAAGTCACTGTCCTGGATGTCAAAAATGTTAAAATGACCTTTCAAGGCTCTTCCATTTGAGAGACTTTGTAATCCCAAGATGTTAAGATTCTCAAGAATTTCTGCTTAATATCAGCCGAACACATCTACCAACTGGTAAGATGTTCCCGCCAAACTTGACTCTATATGTATGTGTATACACATACACACACATCTGCTGTTTTCAAAATTAAAAAAAAAAAGCTTTCGGTTGGAAATAAAGCATCCAAAAACCACTTTTTTGAGTGCATCAATAATTAGCCTAATTTTTACAATAATGAAACTTGTCCACTTGAATTTGGGGAAGAAAAGGCCTGTAAGAAAGGCTTAGTTCAAAGTAGCAAAACATGAGGAAATGCCAAGGTCACAGTATTACAGAATGATCGGCCAGATTTTCCAACACCTTCGCTACTCTCTCGTTGTGTTTTTGTTTATTTAATTGTTTTGTTTTTTAAGAATGTGAATTAATTTTCTCAGGCCACAAGGTACCACTGAGTAAGCAGAAACTTAAGTTACTGGAATTGGTATCGGACAAGGCCTCCTTATCTCACATTTGAGAACTTAAATCAGCACTTAAGGCCTGAAATTCTTCCGTAAGCACTAATTTAGTAAACACTATCCAGGTGGCCTGAATTGAGTTTCCCAAGTTTCCATACAAGGAAGTAAATCAACATCAGAGATACTGACTGCTAAATACCTTATCAGAGGAGGTATACTTCTAGTCTTCCAGGAAGCTTCTTCTACACCCATGTGGTATCTAGCTTTAAGGACTCTAAAAGTGGGACGCAGGGAGATGGTGCAAAGGATTTCACCTTACAGCTAATTAGGGTGGACCAGAGAGTCAGGTACAAAAAGGAGTCTAGGAAGTCAAGGCTGCCTATGAAGAAGCAGAGTCATGAGCCTTGCTGTAACTTCGTCTCTGCTGACCTCTTGTTTAGATGTGGAAGAAATGCCCAGGGTGCCAACAGGGCAGCCACCAACTTTCCAGAGCAGGTAAACAAGCTACCAGTTCAAGGGGCCAGGATCATACAGTAATCAATGATTGTACTGTGATTTGAATTTCTTTGGAATTCTGTATCCGCAATTGACTGTAAGTACCTTGAAGGCAAGGAACTTGTCATTTCTTCTTTTCATCCCTACTACCTCCACTGGTACGTAGTAGGTGCTAGTAAAAGCGGGCAGGACAAAGTAATGAGGAGAAAGGTGAAAGCACTTGATTCTGTCAAGCCTGTGTATGATCTTCTCATTATGAATTATGACATCTAGAAGGAGGAGATACCTAAGATAGTCAGGATGGGGATGCGGGTGGCGGTGGGGGATGTGGGGGTGGGTGGAAGACAGATAAGATTTTTATCTGTTAAAATCAACACATCAGTGGCGCTCAGCAGTGAAAAGATGGCTGGTGCAGACATTTAAAATTAGCTTCCCCTGACGGTTCCTTAGCAACGCTCTACCAGAACATTATTGCTTTTAATGTGCACTGCACAACGTTTACTTGCACATCAAATAGCTAGGAAATGGCCATTGTTAACTGACACTGAACAAAAAGATAGGAAAAACACACTACTCAATACACCCTCCTCATTGCCCTTATGGAGAGGAACAAACAGCCCAGATTTCCTGCTGCCTGTCCCTCCCAGGCTGCCCATCAGAGGTGCCAATCACTGGCCACAAAGCCTTGTGTTTTCTCCCTTTTGTTTCTCTAGGCTTTCCTTCTATTTGATCACAGGTGACTGCCACCATCCTTGTTATTCGTTGAAGGAAGGCAAGACAGTGACTTTGTTTTATGTGAGGGCAATAAACCAAATAAATGCCCCCAGAAACGAACAGTAGTAGCAAAATATCATCTTGGATGAAGCAAGACATCTGAAGCTCATGCAAGCCAGTGGGAAAATTCTGTGTGGTCAAATGCTGTTTTTGTATGGGAACAAAATACACAAGGCCGAAGTGATGAAGAAAAAGAAAAATATTAATGTCTTTCTTTGCTAAGCCTGTATTCCCTCTCTTGAAGTAAAAAATAATAACCAACTACTCTATGAAGATTTAGTTGTCCCTATATTTAAATGATGGAGTAAGATACAATTTTTAAATATAAAGGGCATCAGACTGCAAGTCAGAATCTCTACCACCACCGATCAGTAGGCATGTTCTAGGCCTTGCTGTAGCACGTAGTAGCCATATGTCCCTGGCAAAGGCACTATCAGGGCATTAATTTCGTCATCTGTAAAAGTCACATAATAATTGCTCTTCAGTAAAGGGCACCTCATAATTAACTCTTCAGACTAATGTGTGAAGCAAGTAAAATACTTGACAAATAGAAGGTGGTATTCTTATTTCTGGAAACATGTTGACTTCACAGGTATTTGAATTCAGAATACTCTACACCAGAAATTCACACTTACAAATCAAATCTTTTCACCATGGACCCAAATTGCCATTCTGATACCGCGTGTTGGCTTCCAGATGGAAATACACACACCAGTTGGGTGGGGAAGCGAGTGGCCTGATCCCAGCAAATCTGAGTCCCTTCTAGGTATTTGAGCTTACCTCTTGAACTAGGGAAGGAGTTGTTGAGTTGCTCCATCACCTCCTCCAACCCTGTGCTTGTGTCCTGGGGGGGACTGAGAACATCTTCCTCACCTTAATAAAAGCAAAAACAAATAATGGAAAATTACATTTATACAAAGCAGATATTAAAGAAAAGGGCCATAATTACATTTTTAACACCATTATAAATTCATTTCACTTGCTCATAAATAACAAAAAAAACTCCTCAAGCTTAGTAATTAGGAAATAATTCTTTAAAGGGACGAATTCCATACAGTAGTTTATCTGTATCATTACCCTTGGAGAAAAAA